TGGTAACTGAACGGAAAGAGTTAGCTAATATACTGCAGCAACAGTTCTGTTCTGTCTTTAGTGACCCCAACTGCCCTGATAAGTCACTACCTACATTTACAGTACCACCTCTCACTAGCAGGGATACAGAACTGTTACTCACACCTAACCACATCGTGGAAGCTATATCTGAGATTAAGCTGGACTCTGCACCCAGACCCGATGGTATTCCTGCTACTCTCCTCAAAAGATGTGCTTCAAGCTTGAGTGTTCCGATTCATCTCCTCTGGTCTGAGTCCATTTATACAGGCATAGTCCCAAGTTTCTACAAGACTGGATATGTCACACCACTTTTCAAGAAAGGTAGCAGGTGTGATGCTGCTAACTACAGACCGGTTACTCTGACCTCACATGTAGTCAAAGTCTATGAAAGAGTGTTTAGGAAACACATGGTTCAGCATCTCGAAGCCAACAATTTGTTATCTGACAAACAACATGGTTTCAGATCGAACAGAAGCTGCTTGACCCAAATGCTCGATTACTTTGATGACATCTATGAAGGGTTTACTCAGGGGAAAGACACAGACTCCATATACCTCGACTTCGCCAATGCTTTTGACAAAGTTGACTTGGACCTTCTCTTGTTAAAGTTAAAGAGATACGGATTTCATGGCAAACTTCTAAGCCGGATCCAGTCATTTCTCTCTGACCGTGAACAGTTTGTAGTCCTAAACGGTGTTCATTCGGACAGTGCCAGGGTTCTAAGTGGTGTCCCTCAGGGAAGTGTGTTAGGACCACTATTGTTCATTTTGTTTATTAACGATCTAGAGCTAGCTGTTACCTCTTCTAAGGTAAGCTTCTTTGCTGACGATATTAGGGTCTCCAAACGTATCGATTGCTTTGAGGACTGTCTGCTGCTTCAGGCTGATCTGTACGGTATTTTCGACTGGTCCCGCTGCAACATCATGAAGCTCCACGAACAGAAGTTTGAGCTCCTGAATCATCTCCACAACAGAAAGAGTAACTTTTCCGAACTCCCTTTTTACGTGGAAACTCTACTTTACAAGGTCTCCAGCGAGGAAATACTACATCCCGTTGAGAACGTTAGAGACCTCGGAGTTATGGTATCAAGCGATCTGAACTGGTCCAAACAGATCGGTAATATGGTCAAGAAAGCTAGAAGCACACTGTCATGGGTGTTTAGTGTCTTCAAAACTCGTGATAGGACCGTAATGACTACCCTATATAAGTCTTTGGTCAGAAGCCTAGTAGAGTACTGTTGTCTGCTGTGGGACCCTGTTAAGGTGGCTGAGATCCAGCTTTTGGAGGGGGTCCAGCGAACATTCACCGATCGTATATGCGGTCTGGAAAATATGAACTACTGGGAGAGGCTTTCACATCTAAAGCTAATGTCACTGCAGCGCAGAAGGGAACGGTACACTATTCTGATGATGTGGAAGATCCTTCACAATTTTGTCCCCAATTGCAGCAATATATAAGGTTCACAAAAACATCCAGACATGGTACCTGAGCAATCATCCCTTCCCTGTCTAGGTTGAGTTCCTCGAGCAACCAGACACTCTATGACAGCTCATTTGCTGTAAGAGGACCAAAACTGTGGAACAAAGTGCCTGATAATATTAAAGCTGAAGCTACGTTTGAGTCGTTTAAAGTTAGTTTGTCCAAGTTTACTGCTTTGATACCGGACAACCCTCCGACTTCCGGTTATAGCTGCAGCTGGTCTAATTCCCTGGTAGACAACTCGCCATCGAGGTGGTCAGAAATCTGATGACCTTTCCTGCTACGAGGATAAACACAACCAAAGTAACCAAAGTAAGTAAAATGAGGTAGAAGAAGCCGAAGATCAACTTCAAGATAGTGATCATGCAATAATGTGATATTTACAATTCAGATTGTTAAATTTTATGATACCTTGTTTTTATTGATTCAACGATATAGTTTACTTTTAGTCTAATGATAGCAATTGAAATTGACTGAAATTAAAAAGTTGTCATATTCTGGACAAAAAGTTCGAAATGGAAAAATTTTTGAAAAAAAATTCAACGGACTTTAACTTGGACGGACATTAATTGAACGGACTTAATTTGAACGGACATTAACTTGAACGCTAGGGCCTCCAGCGTTCAAGTAATATCCGTCCAAATAAGGTCCGATAAGGTATATCCACCCTAGCGGGCGCTTGTATAAAATTAAACTATAGACAAGATCGCCACTAATTGTTGTAACCATGGTAACACGTCACGTGTTCAATGTAAGCCAATCATTTTGGGCTGCGTCGTATATTATAGGGGCTGGAGATAAGCGATCCATACTAGCACTGCACAGTCCTGGGCCGTGGGAATAATTAATGTAATGTCAGTGACGATGAACATCAATAATAGGGGGATTATAGTGCTGATCATGTGTATTGTGTAGTGTGTTATAATGACATGTGTAATGTGTATCGATCATCATAACTATGGTGCACGTGGATTGCTGTATCATCAGCTGGGATCCCTACCGGACACAAAAATAAAATGTATATATATCTCCGGGCTATATCATTATATCGCCCGATGGTATAGCGGGCTCCCGCTATATCAGCGGGCTGTGAGAGCGGGCCGGGATATATCATGTCTTCTAACTAGCGGGCTGCACGGTCCTGCTGGCGAAAATATAGCCCGCTAGTGGATATAATATTGATATGCAGCTATATCCACCAGCGGGCTATATTTTGTCTTCTGACCTGATCTCGCAGCCGGCCGATGTAACAAGACACAGTGCGCGTCCAGCCCGCTTAAAATACAGCACGCGAGCAGACGACACTTAACGTGACAACTACAAGTAACAATACAGCCCGGAGCACTTTCACTTTCAAACAAATTTTTGGGGCCTAAACTATTAAACTTTAACTATTACAAGACACGTACACCATATTTATGTCACTGACACTACATCTTAATGGTTCCCACGGCTCAAGGAATGCACTATATCACTTATCGGCCTCAGTCCCTATACCACGCAATGCAATATGATTCAATGATTGGCTGACATTGAACACGTGACGTGTTACCATGGTTGCAACAATTAGTGGCAACTTTAAGTCTAGAGTTGATGTTTATACAGTATACACCATACACGTTCCATTGTTTATTTCAACTGATTTCCATTTCCATAATTGCTCAAGCTATTTCGAGTAATAATTCTTGAAATTTTAGGCCGGAATTTTATTTTTATGTGTAATTCTATTGTGTTCCCGAAAGAAATTTTGCCCTGTTTTTTGTTTTGAAACTATACCGTCTACCACTAATATTGATTTTATGAATTTGATCTTTTACTCAACGTAAAATATATATATATATACATATCACCGGAAACTCGCGGGCGGAACAAAATATTGCACGCGCACGCGCGTGCAATATTTCATATGTCCCCGAGGGCGCTAGCCCGAGGAAAACATATTTTCGTATAGCACGGAGGGCCCATCGGGCCCGAGTGCTATACGATTTTTCCGCCCGCGGGTCGAGGAGATGTGGATTATATCCACCAGCGTGCGCTTTTTCGCATAGCGGGCTCTCACCAGCCCGCTGTCAAAGGGCCCGATATCTCTACAGCCCGCTCGTGATATAGCCCGCTAACAAGTGACATTTAATTTGACCAGTAGCAATATTTATATAGCCCGGAGTTCTCTAAAATATTTTCAGTTTCTGTATCGTCTCCTGATGATACATCTCGCTGATGATACATCTCGTGAGCAGATGACATGAAATCTGAACACTGAACAGTGTTATTGATCCACACTACACAGTACACTTTAATAAGTTAATAGTTCCCACGGCAATATGTGGATGTAAAGAATGTATCAACTCTGAACTCTGAGCTCACCTTATTTATATCGGATGCTATATCAGTTTTCACGCAGATTGCTATGATTGGCTCATAATTAACACGTGACACACTGTTACTATGGTTACCAAATTCGTGGAGACGTTAAGTCTAAGCCTGTGATATCCATTAGTATCAATAATTGTTATGTGTTTACCATTTTCAGTTCACTATTTCAGTTGATAAACCTTGAAATTTAGGCCGACATTTTACGTGTTATTCTATTGTGTTCCCAAAAGATATTTTGCCCTGTTTTTGTTTTGAAACTGCCATTTAAATTGATGTTATAAACTTGATCTTTAACTTTCATATTCAATGTCCATGATCAGACTGTGATCTCGAGCTGTCTGGGTTACTACTTTTGATTGTCCAGTCACTCAGTAGCTGCTACAGAAACTCTAGTAACTGGTTACCTGGGTAACCCTGGTTACCTACCCTGGTAACTGATAATGACAACTCACTTGCTAGTAGCAGGCTCTGTGGCGACTGGCGGTGCTTGTTCTGGTTCCAGGGAGGGAGAGGGGAGAGAGGTAGAGAAGTAGAGAGGGAGAGAAAGAGGAGGAGAGAGGGAGATGAGGAGAGATGGAGATAAAGAGAGAGTGATATAGAGGGAGAGAGGGAGGTAAGGAGAGTGGGAGTAGGAGAAAGGAAGATAGGGAGAGAGTGAGAGAGTGAGAGAGGGAGAGAAGGAGATAAGGAGATGAGGGAGAGAGGGAGAGAGGGCCTATATTTTGATTGTTTACAATAAAATTATATGTACATGAAACAATGAGCTGAAACATTGTTTGATAGCGGCCGGTTTTTCGTTCTATAGTCAGTCATTTTGGCCTGTTCTATAACATTTTAAACTAAAAGCAACATGATTTTCTCGTAAAATTTCTGAAATCTTGTACATTAATTTGCTGTGATTGTTGGAAACTGAAGCTTCGTGATAAACGCCCACTTGTGGATATATCACATTGTAGTATGTACAATAATATAATGTATTGTGGATATATTTACATTTATAAAACTTAGATCATCTAATTAGTGGCATTACAACTACACTTGAGAAGCGCCCGCTCATGGATATACCTGATATAAAAAACTAATATCTGTAAGAAAAAGCTCACGCTGGTGGATATAATCCACATCACCTCGACCCGCGGGCGGAAAAATCGTATAGCACTCGGGCCCGATGGGCCCTCCGTGCTATACGAAAATATGTCCTCCTCGGGCTAGCGCCCTCGGGGACATATGAAATATTGCACGCGCACGCGCGTGCAATATTTTGTTCCGCCCTCGAGTCTCCGGTGATATGTATATATACCAGATATATTTAAATATATTTTTTTAATAGAAAATTATCGTATGAAATGATAAATAAGGCGTTTAGTTATTCTGTCCTGGATCTTAGTGCTCTCAAAGAATCCATTCTTCTAACTGAGAAAGTTTAGTGGTAATCGGAGTTTGGGGCTTTATTTCCAGTGAAGTTTTAGGAGTCAACCTTGCCTTGAACTTAGCACCATTTTTTAGTGTTGACAATTGATAAATTTCCGCTTTGGGAGTTTGTTTTAGAGTTTGTTTTCTCTTGAATTTTACAACTTCACTCTGTGGTGGGGGCGTGGGTGTTATATCTTTCCTCAACCTCTGATCTAGAGGAGAAGCGGACATTTTTCCGGAGACATACGAACTTGAATGCCACTGCATCTTTTATCTCTGTCTGAGCATTGACAAAACTTTTTGGTAAAGTCGATCTATTGGGATTGTTAGTGTTAGTTTCTTGAGCTGCCACAGTATCTTTTATCTTTGTCTGAGCATTGAACTTCTCGGTATAGTTGATTTCTTGACTGTTAGACATTAGTGTTAGATTCTTGAGCTTCAAGGAACTCTAAATTGCTGGGAACTGGGTCGCCCGGAGGAGTTAAATCGTGCCCTGACTGGTCTCCAAGTGGAAAGTGGGAGCTGAAATGATAACCTGATCAATAAATCAAAATGAACGCCGGGTCGAATATGTAAAAATCACATATTTTCAACCAAATTTATACTTAGTGAAAGCTAGCCCTTGCGATGTTTTGTCATTTCCAAACGATTCTCTAGCATTTAAACGTAGGAAAATAGTAAATTTTAAAATGACGTGATATTCTAAATTTTTATCTGCATTATAAAATGTACTACCAAAGGAAACGTACCTTAACATATTTTTTCGCACTACTTTAACAGGCGAAGGACTAGCAACGGAACTATCCTTTTCTTCAAGTGCCTCCAGCGATGCTTTCTTCATCAGATCCACCGCTGTTTGCATACCTACGATGTAAGAGATCATGGGTCAGTAAAAAATTCAAGGCTTCCAAAGAGAGAGTCCTAGTGCTAAGTCCTTACTAGGCGATTAATTAGATATCGTGATAAGTTTACTGAAACAAACCGGCAGTTAGGGAATCATTGCTGTCAGTCCTCTGGCGAGTAAGCTGCCTTGTCAGACTCAACTCATTGACGGTGGTGGAGAGGGTAACTGTAGAGCTCCGTTTTTGGAACATCCCGGTAAATAAGTCCATGAGTCTGCTTTTTGTTGCAGTATTGGATATAGCATTATTTGTGACATTTAAGGCGGTCGGTGTTGTCACATTCTTGTACCTGCGAAAGCCTCCTAGATTAAGATATAAGCAGCTTCAAAAGATCGCGCGAAAAATGTGACGGAATTTTGTTAAAAAGACAAAAGTTTATGTAAACAACCATGAAATTATAATTTGATATTTACATTTATATTAGGCTATTTGTTTTAACAGTTGGAGATGCATGTTGGTATTAAGCAGACGAATCCCAGAATTACTTAATAGTAAAAGGCACGTAAAGATTAGGATGTTACAAATTAAGACATTTGTAAATGAAGATGTTGTCAGTTGTGCTTTTGTTGTACTTGTTGTTGTACGGAATAGAATAAATATTATTCAATGACCTTAATGCCACACACATTATTTTCACGGACTTAATTATTCACGCTAAGGTCTTCAGCGTGAGAGTAATGTCCGTGATAATTATGACTGATAAAGTATATGTATATATCACTATCTATCTTAATTTATTTATGTATCTTAATCTATATATATATATATAGATTATATAATATACGCTTTGGCAGTCAATTGCAGCCTTTATTCAAGTGTCCGTAGATTCAAAACTACAAAAGATATATCCATCGCGGACCACAGGTTTTGAAGATAATTGTTAAGACTTTAGTTTACATTATATGAACAAATAATATTTTGACAAATAATTTAACGTCATTATCACCACCTAATGACCACTAATGTATGTAAACATTCTAACAGCAGCCAAGCCTACCCAGCCTGAAAAACCAAACTAGAGCTCCAGTTCCATGAGCTCAAGGAAACGATCAAAGAGACCGTGTTGTCGTGCAGCGCATGATCTTTTGACAATACAGATCTTTAACAATAACAAAAAGGACTCCCAGTCAAATATATTATCTTGAATGTGATAGTGAAAATGATCTTTGCTAGAAACATAGCCTACCTGCAGGGTGGTGGTTATTTTCCCGGTGTTTATTTCCACGTTTTTTAACCATATTTGGGCAAAAACGACATATTTGTGCCCATATTTGATAAAAACGTGCAAATAAACACCGGGTAAATAACCACTACGGTACTCAGCAGGGCTTATTTTGCAGTGAGCCACTCTAAAGTACTAAAATATCAATGAACTAGTGTAGCTCGTGCCTAAGGCCGGGACTTCACTACATTGCAGTTGAAATGCAAAAGACCAAACCTGCCTATAACACGCATGACATTGTCGTATGTGACCGCAATGAGTGCCCCCTCCCCCTCCCCCCCTTAATAAGCTTATAGTATTACATAACAGTGGTCTTTGGGCTAACTTAATAATGATTCATGTACCAACGCTGCATATGCAGTAATGACTAATGGGAGAGTGAGCGAGGAGGGAGAAAAAGTGAGCCCTTTTATGTCATATTTGATATTTGTGTTACAAAACCATCAATTAATCCACTTACCACCGGCCGATTAAAAAAATTGCTTATAATTGGCTTCATCAGAGTTTTTTCGAAACTATAACAGTATAAGTATAACGAAAAAAAATCGCTTCCATAACTCTAAGTCTAACCGTTTACTTGCTATTAAACCGCTCGGAAATTACACGCGCACACAAATAGAGACAGACACACAGACAGACACACATTCTGATATTATTATTCAGATAGAATTGCTGCAAAAGGGCTTCTATGTCGTAAAGGCTAAAGCCATTATCATTTATCATATTATGACCAGCTATTGTGAATGTCAAAAGGGCTTATCTTACAGTTGATTCGTTTTTAATTCATATAGATCTGCCTCTAGAGAAGTTTGGTGGCATCAATGTCATCAAAATATGTAATGATCTAATTAACATAATCACCATTGACAAACGGATTTGAGCCAAATCGAGTGAAAATTGATACTGCTAATTAAAAATATTAATATCTCATAACTGTATTTTTTGAGATAAGCCGTTTTTGTATGTTACTGACAATTATTGTGGTTTATCCCAATTGCTTTAAGACGGTTTTTTAAAAGAAAATAGAGCTTTTAACTGCATGAATGGAGTAGATGTAACTGAAAAGAAATTGCAACCTAACATTTTAACACAATTTGGTAAATCAGTAAATACACTAGAGTAAGGCTGCAAAATAGGAGTTGAACAAGGATTTAAAATAAACATGCTAAAAAGAGAAAACCAGGAAATTAATCTAAATAAATCATAAAACCTGCTACTGGGTTTATTTTTAGATTTCTTCCCAATGTTACGAAAGAAATACGACCACTTCTGGTAAATGTCCGGTTTGATTGCACAGTGAAAGATGAAAATCAGGACTCCTACGGAATAAAATCGTTTAAACAAATTTAGAAATGACATTACAGCATCAATAATAGCCGGTAGAAATGCAGTTCATTGTAATGCTGGTTGTGACAATCTAACTTTGTTATACTGCCATAATAATTATGAAATGATAATGATTTCAAATCATAGATTTTTAAAAATTCATAACCTATGGTTAACCTTCTTCCTTGTGTTGTTGGATAATCATATGACTTTATGAGCGGGATATAAATACCTCATTTCATTTCATTTTATACCTTGCAGAGTATTGCAGACAGTAAACAGATAGTGGAATGCAATATTAGCGGGATGGTTGAACATTAGAAACCCCAGCACCCAGGCGAGACCCAAAACACACGACAAAGTAGAAACAGCCTTCAACTTTGAGATTATTTTCTGTACTTTACTCTCGAAATGCTGGTATCTTCCTTTCTTGAAGATTTTGACCATAACGAGGATGAAGATACCCCAGTTAAAAATACTCGATAGACCTGTGGAATGTTATTAGCAAGTTATTAGTGTAATGTTCATGTTTAAATTAAGTAATTTATTCAGGAGATTGTAACAATAATTTAATTAGGTTTGTTAAACTGTTAGTGTTGCTATTCGAAATATTCCTCATAACCAATAAAATTGTCGCTATCAGTTCCCGTGAAATCTCTACAAACCTACCGATTGGAGCATAGAGAACGTAGTCTTGTATGGTGCTCTCGTTGGAAATCCGAAACAGACAAACTGACGTGTCATTATAACTGTCATAAGATATTCCGGCTGTTAAACCAACAATCAGTCCCGGTATAACAAATACCATTATCGCTGAAAGATATGAAACATTCATGAAACCTCCTACCTACCTATGTCACTTATGTGAATTGTGAAACTAACAAAAATCCCTTCTTACAACTCTAAAACTATTTCATTTCACTTAAAGTGACATAGTGAAAAAGTGACAAATGTATCCTCTAAATTTCTGAGGCAAGATCCTGAATGATAGAACAACAAAATAAACCTGATTTCATTATAAATCTGGAGCTCCTAGCTTGAAGGATCCTGATGAAGAGCAACCAGAGATTGTAAGATTCCACCACAGTACACATAAACACAGTTAACCACAAGTAATGTAGAGCTATAGCTATAGCTTTACAGAGGTGCTCGTTCATGCCATCATAATATTTTGCTCCTGCGGTGAGTTACAAGTTAAGAACAATTCCCCATAACAATCACAGTTTCAGATCCTCCATTTAACAATTGCTTCACATTGTTATGCTTCCACGTGGTTTAAAACTCGAAACGATAATTTCCACACCCCTCCCCAGTCCCCAACACTTACCTCCCAGGAAGAGGAGCATGGCAATTAACATGGTTGTAGCCAGGCAGATGTGAATCTTGTTAGAAGGAGACCGTCTGATGTCCTTGAACCACGTGAGGGCTATGAGAGTGAGCACTAAAGCAAGACACGACATTCCCCCGCACACGTAGGTTAGGTAGGATAGTATACTGTCGTGTGGGGTAGGTGGTCCCGTGCTCTGGAGAGGGGTCGTTATTTAGTGATGATTTAGTTTGTTACTTTAAAACGTAGGCAGTTCAAGTTTAAATACATAGCGACAAATCAGTAAACAATCTTGTTCTTCTGCAAATCAGTAAAAAAATTATTATTTTTGGAGTTCCCCAGGGATCACTCTTGGGGCCTATTCTTTTCATCCTTTATATCAAAGCTCTCCAGAAAATTGCGGCCAAATATGGTCTTGATATACAGCTCTATGCAGATGATTTTCAGCTGTACATCTCATTTAAACCAAACCATGTGGTACAGTTCATTGATGTCCAAGACAGAACAAACAAATGTCTCGCAGAGATAAAAGCATGGATCGTGAACAACTACATGAAACTGAACGATACAAAGACAGAACTACTGTTGTTAGGAAAGAGCCATGTTCTAAAAAAGTGTGAACTCAGTGTCAGACTGCAATTTGGAAGCACTGAAATTCTACCTACGGAGTGTAAAGGAGACAGCTGGAAGAGTCTAGGTGTCAAATTTGATGAAACTCTGAATATGGAACGACAGATCAATAATGTCAAAAGGAAATGCAGCTGGACAATGATGAACCTAAGAACCATTGGTTGTTACCTGGATGAAGGCATTAAATTGATGCTGGTGAAAGTGAAACAACTGGTCATATCTAAATTAGACTACTGTAATTCTGTTTACATGAATCTACCCAAGACCAGATTGAACAAACTTAGATCCACCCTTAATGGGGCAGTTCGTTTTATATATAACATAGAAGAGAGGACCACGGACTTGGTTCCCTTCTATAAGAAGGCTCACATACTCCCTATAGACCAACGAATCTTCTTTAAAGTTTTCTTTTAACCCACAAATCAGTTCACGGTACTGCACCTGATTACCTCATGTAGTGGATATAGAATTCAAACACCATGACCAGGTCGAAGAGACCTGGTGACCATCTCATGCTCAAGGTACCAAAGAAAAAAAAGTTCTGATGTTTTTATTTCCATTGTCATCACTGGAAAGGCTTTTATTTTTTACCGCACTCCATTTTATGTCTTGATCTCTTACTTTCTAGGATTTGTTTCTTTCTTGATTGATTATGTCACTGTACTTACCTTTATTATACCTACATGTATTGTATGGTTTCTGCTTCTATTTAGTTTAGTGCGGTTTACAATAAAAGATGTTTTAATTTTGTCTTTGCCTTATGATGAGTTATACTTTAGTTCACTTTTACACATTTGCTCACATCAGCCGCTCTGACATGGTTTACCACCTTCCTTGTGTTGTTGGTTAATCATATGAGCGGGATATAAATACCTCATTTCATTTCATTTCATTTCATTTCATGTATTAAGCAGTGTAGGTATCTCAATAGTCAATATGTATAAAGTATTATGGGTCACAAATTGTGACACTTCAAGTTGGGAAACAACCGTTAGCTTCACTTTCTAACTCGTTTGAGTTGTAAGTGAGAACTAGTGTATACTGTTAGTGTCAATTACTAATTACTTAATTACTAATTACAAATCACTAATTAATAATTTGTGTGCTACTGTATACGAATTGTCATACCATTAGTGCAGAGAAAGCAGTAAGATGAGTCGTGTTACATTCCAAAGTACCGTCGTCTGTAAATGTTGTCGTAACTCCATCAGTCGTCCAAGAGAGCGCTGCAAAGTTCGATTTATTTTAAGATGTTCGGTTTTTATGAAGGCTAAAAATAAGGTGTGAGAAGTGTTTTCAGAAAGGCTTCTATAGCCTTCTATACATAAAATATATTGCAATAGTGTAAAAAAATAAGTAATTTGTTTCATATAAGTACCTAATTATTAGTCATCGTAAGTAAGTAGTAACCTTACACCGAAGCAGCTCACTTACCTTTTTCAACGCGATCGTCCCAATAATAGCACAAAGGGTTGTAATACAAACTAAACTTGTTCTTATCAGTTAGCCTAATTCCGATTGAGATCTCTTGATCCTTCTCTAGCCCAGATAACTCGGTTGGCGGCTCAATATCTACCAATTTCGAACCGTAACGTTTATCTGTTAAATAAATACATTATCTTAATAAGAAATTCATCAAGAAAATTTAGATCGCACTGCCAATTATCATCACATACAATTTGACATGACCACAAATCCTTCATCAAACTCGTATCAATGTAATTGTATAGTTAAAAAATAGAAGAGGAAATCGTGAACATTGAACCTTCTAGATTGCTATTGAAATCAGTTTCAGGATCATGGTATAGGGAGACTATAAGTATAAAAGATTGAGACCCCGCGAGAGCAGTTATGTTATTGAGGCCCCTTGGCAGTGTGATTTTTATTTCAGTCTCTTTTACCTCTGAAAGTTATAAAGTGGTTAGGAATTTCCCTTATATTATGAGATTACGTCAGAGTTGAATGATCCAATTGTGAACTTAAACGTTTGTTGAAATAGAATTAGACATATCGAAGGGAAAGAATAGACATTTAAATACATTACCCTCTGCCATAGGAAAATCAAGTGTTTCTTCCTTTACTAGAGGAAACTTAACTTCCCATAAGACCCTAGTAACCTTCTTTTCGTGGATGGTTCTCAAGCCATTCTCTAATTGAACATTTTTCATGAAGGCTAGTATTAGGCCTTTCGCTCTGAGGACAATATAGATTTGAAGGGTTATGAAATGAGATTTTTCATTTTTATAGAAAATTGTTAAAAATTGACCATTCAAAATGATTTGAAATAACTTGTTATAATTTCGAAATGTTCACGAAATACCAACTGCTAGAGCCTAGATTCAGAAAGTTATAACAAATACATGCTCCCACATTTTCCGCAACTCAATAGAAACATTCGTTGTTGAGCTCATCTGAGTCAATATGATCATAACACCGTTCAGTCTATCGCCATAATGTTCAAAATAAGATTGGTCATCCTTAAATTCTTGTAGCAGTAACTGTGAGTACACTAGACAAGGTGTATGTTGTTTCAATGTCAAATTTACTAGTTCTCCTTCTAACACGTTGATGGAATCCAGGGTAAGGTTGCAGTCCAATTGAAAATCTTTCATGAAGGGTAGTCTTCGGTCTTTCGCTCTGAGGACAATCTAGATTTGAACTGTTATGAAATGAAATTTTTCATTTTTATAGAAAATTGTTTAAAAATTGACCATTCAAAACGATTTGAAATAACTTGTTATAATTTCGAAATGTTCACGAAATACCAAATGCTAGAGCCTAGATTCAGAAAGTTATAACAAATACATGCTCCCACATTTTCCACAACTCAATAGAAACATTCGTTGAGGAGCTCATCTGAGTCAATATGATCATAACACCGTTCAGTCTATCGCCATGATGTTCAAAATAAGATTGGTTATCCTTAAATTCTTGTAGCAGTAACTGTGAGTACACTAAACAAGGTGTATGTTGTTTCAATGTCAAATTTACTGGTTCTCCTTCTAACACGTTGATGGAATCCAGGGTAAGGTTGCAGTCCGATTGAACATTTTTCATGAAGGCTAGTCTTAGGTCTTTCGCTCTGAGGACAATCTAGATTTGAACTGTTATGAAATGAGATTTTTCATTTTTATAGAAAATCGTTTAAAATTGACCATTCAAAATGATTTGAAATAACTTGTTATAATTTCGAAATGTTCACGAAATACCAACTGCTAGAGCCTAGATTCAGAAAGTTATAACAAATACATGCTCCCACATTTTCCGCAACTCAATAGAAACATTCGTTGAGGAGCTCATCTGAGTCAATATGATCATAACACCTTTCAGTCTATCGCCAAAATAAGGTTGGTTATCCTTAAATTCTTGTAGCAGTAACTGTGAGTACACTAGACAACGTGTATGTTGTTTCAATGTCAAATTTACTAGTTCTCCTTCTAACACGTTGATGGAATCCAGGGTAAGGTCGCTTATCTTTTTTAGCTTGCAGTCCGACCTTGTGTCGTTTATCCAGTATGTAGTCTAGGAATGGTTTAAAATTAAGACAATGGCAATGATGCTTACATTGTAAAACATACTCAGCTATCACGTTAATAACAAATGTATATTATATTAATTTAGCCATATTTATTAATGACAATGTGCAGAATCAATCAATCTCCATTAAATTGCCTGAAGATTGATTTATTTGATACCTTGGAAAGAGATTTAAGCTTGCAATGAGCTTTAATCCCGTCACACGTATCCTTTTCACCAAGAGCAAAATTTTCGAAGTTGCAGTTCAGTAACTGGTACTTGCTACAATTTTCCCCTGATATGAATAAATGTGAAATAACTTGGTTTAAATTATAATGGTATGGGTCGAGAATTGGTTGGGATATCTGTGTCAATATACTACTTTTGCTCCCTTAAAATTGTGTTTTGGGCCAGTCATCTAAAAACCAAGTTTCACAAAACTCCTCAATACAACAGAAAATTTCAAAGAAAGTTCTAACCTTTGACGGCGAGGAAATCTAAGTGAGTGTCTCCAATACGAGCATTGGAGGGTACACTGTGTGAAGCAAACATATATTTCTCTTTTTCATTGTATCGTAATATCTCATCTTCCTATTAGATATCAAAGGAGGTTTTATTCAATTATAGTTTTCAAGTTTACAGTGAGAAATTTGTTGATTTTATTTGCATACTTGATAACTGTATAATTACACGTTAATTAAAAGGAATTTTGCAGATTTCAATAACATACTTTAAATAGTGGCTCAACACTTGATTTCAGCTCGTCCATATCCGGGTTTAAGTTGAGCATGAACGTCTTTTCTATGACATTTTCGGCTGAAATTATGTGGTGCGTTAAATCTAATTAGAGGCAGCGGAATTGATTATTCTAAAACATTCTTTTCTGCATTTCAATTAGAATTCTCCTATTTACTTGATGCCATCAATTAAAGTCCGACGAACTTAAAACCAAAACATTTGAATATTAATTCTACAAAGAGTACTCACATTGTGAAACCAACGTAGTAAATAGAAAATTACGAATAAATGTAATTTAAGCTTACTAACCTGACGGTGGAAACCTAATTTTCAAACTTTCCCTCCCCGAAGAGCAGGTAACTCCTTTCAGACCCGCTTTCTGTAGCTCGAGTATTTTTTCTGGTGACAGCATTAAAACTTGATTACCCTCCCTAATGTCAACACCGTCACCCTCGACTACTTCGCTACTGCCTGACAGTGACAAAGATATGTGTGGTTACTGGTTACTATTTCGTCGAATATAAGGAATTTCTCATTTTTAAATGGTGAATATAGTAAATACAAAAGAAAATGTAACGGAAATATAAAAAGAATGTGCAAAGCTCACCAAAGCTCGTCCAAGTTATTTCAACTCCGATACTTTCGATGAAAAAACATCGAAATATCTTTTCTTCTTCACTCCAAACTCCTTTTTTATCCTGACAATGAAGGCAATATGAAATAATATAAAGTATTTGATTTTCTTTTGAAATAATTAAACAATGAAGGCAGTATGAACTATGAAATAGTGTAAAGTATTTGATTTTCTTTTGAAATAATTAAAGAAGGATTTAAGTTTGCATGTTATAATCTTGATACACAGACTACATACCTTTAATTTGATCAAGCCATCTTCAAGGTCAGTTCCAGCAAAAAGTTCCATAAGTGATTTCCAGTTTTTGGGAACGTCAGCTGAAAAACATTATTATAAAGGAATATTTTTCATCAAGACTTAAAATCTGGGACTGAGTTTTTCAACAAAGAGCGGGGCGTATTTCGAATCAAAAGCTTACATTTTTATTCTTTTACTAGCCTATAACACAATTTAGACCTTTAAGAAGCAAAATTGAGCTCCACCACCCAAGAGATGGCCCAACACCAGAGAATACTAATTCACAACTTTTGTGTTTTTATAAAATTATTCTTCAAAAAAGCACTAACTTCAATAACAAATATCTTTATGAAGGAGCAAGGTAGAAACATTTTCCGGTAGATTTTTAGAATGCTTGAACAATTATCGAAGGTGAAAACGTCCTCAGATTTTGAATAAAATTACTCCTTAATGGTGTTAAATTGATTTGAAAAGTTGTTATTTTGTCAATAATCAAGATTTAAAAACGCTTAATTTGATGACGTCATCAAGTGGTGACGATGACGTTAAATTGTTTTTTGATATAATATAAACTAAAGTGTAAACGATTATCTTCAAGACCTATGGTTGGAGATGACTGTATTGTTTATACTTTTGAATCTACAGATACTTGATTGTAGGCTCCAATTTAAGCCAAATTGACTGCCAAAGCGTCTATATTTTATAGATACAAGTTTGACGATCCAGAGCAAAAGTGGTATCCAAATAGACGCCGGTAGTATGATTATGGTGGTTTCTATAAATCTGGAACTGGAAGTTTTTTTTACTGGCTCCAATTAATGTTTATACCACCTTTCTTTGCACTTTTGATAATGATTTTTTCCTTTGTTGCCTGTGCATGTGGATGAGTATGTGGCTGTTGCAACAGAGGTAAAAGGAGCACTATCACCGTGCAAGTGGCCTAATTGCTCTGATTTCTTAGTCTGAAAACCGGTTATCGGTAACTGGTAACTGGTAACTGGTAACTGGTGACTGGTTACCATATCAGAGACCTCTGAATAGCTGCAAAGTAATCACAATGAGGTCATTCGAACTATAAAACCACTTACAACCCTTACTTTTCAACAAATATACCCTTTGAGGCTTTCATGCATGATGCATGGTCATGATATCATTGTTATTCATCATTGTACATTCTTTTTACACAGGATAAGCACAGGTTTTTTACACAGAATTAAAATAAAAATAATTGGCCCACCATCGTGATCCGTGGACTGTAGTAATTATAGTTATACACAATTAAATAAAAAATGTTAATTGATCATGTCGATATCTTGTTTGTAATTAGAGCCAGGGTTGGCCCTATCTAAAATGGATAATATTATAAAATGCATTGCACAATTAATATATAATACCGTTTTTAGGTATGTAGTTATGATTTTTATTCAATTTTAATCTAGTTAACTTTAAAAATTCTCTGTTTTTTGATAAAAGTTGAACTATTTTATGTCATTATTTTTTATCTACATAATTGATAATATAATTTTTTCCGTTCATTCTTTTGTAAAAAGGCAATAGTGAAAGGTTACGAATGGACGTTTTTGCAGAAAAACGTGGATTTTGGAGATGGCTGTAAGCGGGTCTGAATATGGTGTCATTCCGTATGTTACCATGACAACTATCGCGCAGTTACGCGCGCGAGTATTGCTTTCGGAGATGTGATGTATATAGCTACTGCTAGCATGTCAATGAATGCGCGGCGCGAGAGAGTTTTAATGTATACTATGCATGTAATGTATTATAGCATTAGGTAATAAGCCCAATTTGTACGTGGCATGCGTAGTAATAGTATAGTGTACTGATGATGTGTATCAATATTATTATTATGAAGTGAGTTACCTGGGGACCTCAGGCTATCATGTTCATAAATCGAATAGAGATCGATTAGGCGGAATGACAGGCTGAGCGCGGCCCAGTAAGAAGTGAGCTGATTGGAGCCAATATTTATAGTTATAGTGAACGGAAATTTAGCGTCCGCCAAAACGAAACAACGGGCGCAATTATTGTTATAATCTAAATTATCAATTATTTCTTATTAGAAAACTTAAGTTATGAGAGCGACTTTACTTTGATGTCGTCAGTTATTTCTAATTCTAAGTTAAATTCTGATTATGTTGTTCATATTAGTCTATGTAATAAGCGCCATGAGTTGGCACAGAATTTTTTGTCTCTGATTTTGATAAATTTGGTACCAAAAGTTGCCTTTAACTGTGAATAATGAAAATTCACCGTGTAGCACGATAACGTCGAGATTTATGTGGGCCTCCTGTGCATTGCAAAAGTGTACAAAGGACGAAAAATGGTTAATTTATTGCTTAAAATGCCTATAACTCCTAAAATATTGAATATTTTGAAATAATTCTTACAGGATCGTAATGAGTTTAATCAGACACAACTTTTGGTACCAAAATTATAATATTTCAACTTCAAGCACAAAATTTTTCGAAAATTTGTTCAAAATTTTACACAAGGGGGGACTCTTGTCACTTGTGTTCACATTAAAAACTTTTAAAAAAAATTCCTTTAAATCTTAAAATATTAGTACTAAAAGTTTCGTCTCGATGAGCTGATTACGATACCATAACAACTATGTGATAATAATTGAAAATGTGAAAGTTATAGGCCAAAAACTAAAAATTTGCGCAAAAAAAGCACGCGCGGCGAACAAGCGCCGTGTAGTATTTTTAGCGAAAATTTCTACACGGTGGATTTATTTTATTCACATTTTTAGACAACTTTTGGTACCAAATTTATCGAAATCGGAGAAAAAAAGTTCTGTGCTCGCGCTTGGCGCTTATTACTGCACTGATTATATATGAGTTCACCTAACCATGTGCTTTCGCGCCACTGCGGGCGCGCTTGTTTTACCGCCGTGAGGCGGGCGCGCGCTACTGCAAGCGCAAGGGCTCTGGATAGAGCAAATATATGAGCAAGACAAAAATACCTTCAATATTTTATACCATATCTTTCAATTAATATAATATTTGAATTGTCATATATTTGGTTTTCTTCTACCACTTCAGTTGAAAAATTGTAATATTTACATATTATTAATTTGATAGACGATAATCTTTGATTCTTAAAAGCTAAAATTACCTTTGACGGATGTTACTCGTCTAAATTTCTTCGAAGTAGCGCGCGCCGCTCTCTTCTCGAAATGGCCCGACGGCAAGTGC